AGGGCGGACTCCAGGACAGCCTGGGTGAGGAGGAATCACTCGCTTCGTTCTGTACGAGTTTGTCATTTCAATTCTGACGAACTCTAACGATCCTACAGCGGAAAGCGTACCTACGCCTCGGTGTGAGCTTTTCGCTTCGACTTCCAAGTCGGACTCGTTCGCTTCCCCTCCTGAGGATCCCGGATTCGTGGACCGCGGTGGGGCGTTCGAGGAGTTCTCCCGGAGAACTCCTCCATTCCGATAAGCTTTTCGCTCTCGGACCCGTTCTCCTACACATGCTGGGAGCCAGGAGATAATTTTCACCAAACCTTCGGCTCAAATGGAACAATGAGGGAATTCTCATGTGCCAAGCCGAGGGTGAACGAGGAAGCCCGAGGGCTTCTGCGGCGTTATGGCAGCTCGGGCGATCGAAGTGACCCGCAGCGAATTAGGCTTTCCTCCGATCCTTGACTCGGTTCTCCTCCGGTGGCGTTCCGCTGCTTTGGGGCTGTCCGGCTAGCTTTGAACTGTTTTCGGATCCTCGGGAAGAAATCAATTCGCCGATAAGATGGAGTAGAGCTCCGGAGAATTGCGACGTCAGACATCAAAAGATCGCTCTGACTGAGATTCCTGCCCTGAGCCCCTTGTCGGTCGCAAACTCTGTGGAGAGAGAGAGCAGCGGAGCAGAAAAAGAGCCGATTCGCACCCGCCGAGCATCGAGTGAACCGTTCCGACAAAGCAAGGAATCAGATAGACTCCGTGTGCTCACTGCCTACTGTCTACTTCGTCAATGACCGATATCAGTTGCATATCCTCGTCGATTTAAGTCGAATTCCGGACGAAATGCTTTCGCTCGACCTCACTCCGAAAGTCCCGTCATATTCGCACTCTCAAAATTCGCTCAAGACCCTCCCCTGGAGGACCGAGTCTGGAAGATAGCAGGAATCTCCCAATCTTATTCTCCTGAATGGTCTTCCGTCGCTGTACCCCAGTCGGAACTTCCAGTATGAGCTATGGACATCGAGCTCGCGATTCGAGGGGAGTACTCCGCTGTACAAATGGATGGGGCGGGCTGCGCTGGACAGACGGGGTCCTCGGGAACCGCTCTCGAAAACAAGGAAAATGCAATCATTGACTTCCGACTCTGGAACTAGCTGCAGAGCCTCTGAAGTGGGCCCCTGGAACCTATCCGGCTTCCCTGAATTCGGCGCGCGGCTCCGTTTCGGGACGTCGGTACGTATCTGGACCATCGACTAAACTTGTTGTAGGAGACTACCCGCTCCGTAGAAATGATCCACGAGGCGACGGTCGATTACTGAAACATCATATTCCATACCCGCAACTGGATATCCGTTTTGCGAAGTATTATCCAGGCGGATATTAGATTGGAGTATTATTATTAGATCAGTGGACATTCCGTCGATTTCAGGCCTCGAGAAACCCTGTGGTTTCAGAAAAGCTAATTCTGATCCGATAATTTGCTTCAATCCGACGAAGAGTTATGACGTCCATGAGAGCACTCCGAGCTGCTTCGCGATAATAGATAAAGAGTTTTAGAGTTTCTGCTTGGGTTCCGGCGAGAACTCCCTCTTTGATCTCAACGAGAGCTCATGGAGGGAACAGCTGAAGCAGCTCCCTCCAAATTCAAGAGCATGAAGGCCCGATAATTTTCGAGTCTTCGTTACCTCTCGAGTGGGAACTCCTGAACTCAGCTTTTCCCAAGAACTGGGTACGATTCGCATCAGTCTGGATATACATAAATATTGAGGTCAATCGAGGATCGAATGGTAGTAGCATCTCGGCTGGCTTCACGACTGAGTTTCCGTTGTTGCGTTGAGCGGAGTGTCTCGTACTTCGATCCGCACTTCTGATGAAGTCGAAAAGCGTACTCTTCGTCCTCGAACAGCGGCAACAGAAGGAGACGAGGTGCAACACGGGGCTGTGATTTGAAAAACTATGAGCCGCGCCCCATCTGCGGGAAATGGGTCGAATCGTTGCAGCAGATCGTCCTCATCGACGAATACATTGTCGTGAGCCTCGACAGCCTGTAGAGTGGGGCGTTCTGACATTGTACTCACTCCGCTTCGCCATGTACCAGACATCTCGGAGAGATGTGAATCTGGAATTACGATGAGCTGGTTTGTCTGCACACTTTCCGGAGACACCCGGAGCATAAAGCTCCGAATTCGGTCCGACCCCTGCAGCTGCTCTGGAACCGTGTCGGAGTTGCTTTGTCTAGTGAGCAGTGTCTTTGATTGGCGTTCGGGTGTCCGACGGCCTTCGACTCAGCGGATTTGAACTGAATTGTCTAAAGACTTAGCTGAGACTGTCGGGGGGATGGGGGGGAAACGTTGACAGCCTCGGGGTAGGAGTAGAAGCTCGGTGGTCGGAGAGGACCCACTGCGGAAGTCGAATCGGAAGAATTCATCTAATAGAAAGTCTAGGGATGTTTCCGCAAAACTTTAATTCGTCCGACGGAGCCTGTACGGAGAAGGGTGTCCTGCTTCGCTTGCATCTCAAGCGTTCGTGTCTTCGTGTGGTTGAATCAAGGCGTCATTTGATGAATATCGTCCCTTCACCACTCACTCCGACGTTCCTGCAACAGCCGCTGGCCCTGAATTCCGAGCGAGCAGCACTCCACCCACAATTAGATCTGCAAAAGTTGTTCGGAGTACTTCCTGAAAGTGGCTACTCCAAATAGAAGCGGAAAGGCAGGCGAGACTGACATGAGCGCGTGGCTCGCCACTTGAGAGACTCAAGTCTTCTCTCAACATATGGCCCCGAGGCGTATCTTATCCGTAGAATAACAATCCGAGAACGAGTGCGAGGGTTCGCGACCATATTCTACTTCACTTCTGCGGATCCAGACAAGATTCACAGCTTCCGATACGATCCCGGCGCACGAATCACCTGAGCCCGCATTCCCGACACTCCTCTATCATCTATTCCGTGATCATCTATCGCCTCACTTCATTGAGCGGCGCATCTCGACACGGGAGATACGGACAACCCACTTTGGGAAACGATTTTTCCAGCCGCTACGAACGAGAACAGTATGGTCAGCTGTGGAATTGAAGAATGAGCTCCGTTCCCGTGATAACACTGGCCCCTATGAACCCCATGATTCATGACTGACGTTAATGCTAATCACATCAGACTCCAAGACACTCATCGCGGCAATAATTCGTTATTTCCCGATATCATGTAGCTTGGGTTTTCGATAGCGAGTCGGAGTCCTGTTCCTATGAACCGGGAGGAACCTCGGTCGAGGGGGCAGGTCCTCGGTATGGACTCCCTGATCATAAGGCGGATGTGATCCTAGGATAATTATTGTTTACTCTGCTCCATTCTTTTTCTCGTGGACGAATGCATCCTTTCCATCACGAGTTCAAGGAGCAGGTCGGTTCTATGCATGACTCTGTCACAGTTTGTTGAGCTCAAAGCCACTTCCTCAAGGGCCTTTCCGTAGCCTACGGAAAGAATGTCACTTGGACATCCCGCGCCCCGCCTCCGGATGTTACGAGGTAGGAGATGGAACGCGCAAGATTTGCAGCGTACATCTTAAGCAGGCAAGGCACCATTAATATATCTGATGGTTTCTGGTGGTGGGAAAGTGAAAACTTGCCTCTGGGGATAAGCGGAGAAGTCCCGGCCTCAGAACTTGATTCCGTGGAGCTCCATGGAGTGAACATAGGGCATTGATCCGAGAAATTAAGATAGGTCGTTCTCTCCTGGATAGGGATCATAATCTCCGCATGTCATTGACAGCATGCTTCACTGACTGAGGATCGCTACGGCGACAACCAAAGCTCGGAGTTTCATCTCTTTCTGGAGGAGAGAGGAGCGTGGCCTCGATAAATAATTTTCCCCTCCGCCAGGGGTCCCGACCAAGATTCGCGGCACCATCGATGTTTGTTGATCTAAACTGCCATTCGGAATCGAAGTTCCTCGCATGACCTCGACAACTCGAGCTTGTTCCTCAACGTTAGGTCAAATGTTTTATCACCCCACGTTCCAGTCTCACTCCGCATAGGAATTCCCGTCCTGAAAATTCGCCGGCCCGAATAAATATTCGGCATCAGCGGTGGTGTCAGGAAGAGCGGAAAAACGTCTCGCTCAGAGGCGAACCGCAATTCAGTCCCTTAGAGGATCACAGAATTCAGTACTCCGAGTGAGTTCCAATCGCCAGCTCGAGACTCACTTAGATCGTCGAGACAATGTGGAGGGGAGGTCTCCCCCCGACATGTGGAACCTTGAAATCCTCCAACTCAATTTTACTTTAATCAGAGGGTCGCAGAGTTCCTTCAGAGGGGACATCTGCGAGCGTCCCCGCGTCCGAAGGTCTGATCGCAAGAGCTCATCATTTCCCAGTGGGCGGTTTTTGCCTTCGGTGAACTCGAGAGGTCTTCTCCCTCCGGTGGTCGACGACGCTTGGAAAATAGAATATCAAGGTCGTCTGCTCTGAATCTTGATTCGCTCATTTTGAGATAGTCTTCATTGATAAAACTGATCATCGCATGACAAGGCGAGAAAAAATTGCTTTCCGTGTCGAGAACTACGCAGGTTATCCAACGAACATCATAGGTCAAGAATTCCCTCGCCCTGGAGCAGTCTCTGCGTTAAGAAATCTAGGTAACTCCTGTATGAATGTAGCGCAAACTCCACGGAATCGACTGTTACAGATTCATCGCAATCTTTCCTTAGCTCCCGTGACTGAAACAATCTGGTTGGACCTCCAGAAACGATGGAATCTTCTGGAGGAATCTTAATGTAAGATGACAAGCGACGTTCTTGTTCGAAAGCGTCGAATTCGCCTATCGCGAATCGTTGCCTCAGTCTCAGCATGAGCGTCGAGGCCAAGACTTCTGACCAAATGATGGCGCGGCGCGTAATCGCACAGCAGGATAATTGATCGACTGAGCGAAAGCAGATACCTCTGAATCAGTCATGACAGGAGCGTCGTTCATTAGCATCTCCTGTATTCCCTCGGCGGGGAAGGTGGAACCTTTTTCACTATTCGGTGTTCTATTCTGAGAGAGCTCCTATTTCAGATGCTTCACGGCTATCATGATGCGTTCCGCATGTGTCACTATCATCACTCCTCTACACTTAGGATCTTCGTCAGATTTGAATTCGAACTCCGGGATGAGTTTGCACAGAGAGAGTTTCAAGAAAAGCAGAGCCGGTCTCATTCCTACGCAATTCCTTGGTCCGGCGCCGAAAGCCTGCAAGTCGTTGGGAGTTTTCAGTGACCGCCCTCATCAAATTGATCTGGGGAGATCATCGAGCTTCGGACGGAGACGGCCATTATAATCGAGATGATGGTAATTCGAATGCAAGAGATCAAGAATCAGCCGATTACCTGGTAGGCAAGCGGATGTTTCAGCGGCTTTAGGAAACGGTCCGGATCGAACTTCGAGGGCTCATCCCAATACTTGGGATCCTTGTGAATCCGCTGAGGGGGGAAATAGAACGCGAGACCAGCTGGATATCCGGTTCCGCAAATATCCACGTTCGTCAGCGCCCGTCTCGTTATTATTCTGCGGATTGCGAGGCATTCATCACCGATATGTCAACCAAGGACCCCGGAGGCGCCATGGACACGGAGTTCACATCCACGAGGTGCAATGCGATCTGACCCTCACGAAGAAACATTCGAATTAGAAGCGTGTACTTACCCCGTCACGGGCGGTAGATGGCGGAAAGTCTCCTGAATCACTCGGTCCATGTACTTGAGGTTCATCGCAACTTCGTAGGTGATCTCTCCGCAGCGCTCAAGGGCTTCTTCGATTTCGTCTCGCAAACGCTGCTGTACGTCGGGGTATTTCCCGAGACAGTGGAGGAGGAATCCGAGTCCGGTGCTCGTCGTATCGGAGCCAGCCAGAAACAGCGTTATGGCGCTGCCCACTACTTCATCTGTCGTCAGCTGGACGGCTACGGTCCTGGAAGGCTTCTGATCATCCACGGTGTCTCCCCGCGCGGTCAGAGCCCTGCTGTCTGTGCTTACCTCTGTAATCGGAATACAACATGTGAAGAAGAAAAGAATGATGCGCTTCACAGGGGAGCCCCGAGACGAATCACGAAACCGACTCATCAAAGCCGTAAGCATCAGAGAGAGCTGAAATTACGAATTCGGAGACAATACCGTGAGATTCGAGAAGCGACTGCATTAAATCATTCCGAGGGGGAGAGTTCTGTCGGGCTTTGATGACTTTCTTCAGTTCGGTTTCTATTCCGTGAAGGGCATGCGGAATAATGCGCCATCGGAGGAGAAATTTGATCAGGGGTCCGAAAATCTCATTCACCCATTCAAAGGTGGTGCAGATCAAATCTAAACGGCCTCTCATCATGTTCAACGGTGCGTAGATCGCTGTTTTCTCGAGAGGGCTGGAGACGTTCGTATCAGCTTGCGTGTTGAGATCGACACCGAAAATGGTTCGACCAATGTTTTCCATGGTCAGTTTCTGAAGGAGCGGGTAAACATCGAAAGCTTCTTGAGAGGCCGAGAGAGTGATCAGTTTACGTCTGAAACCCTCGATACTCTTCAGAATCAGCGGTGTCATTTCCCTGATTTTCTTCGAGGAGAATCCAGGCGAAACAGCGCTTCTGAGGTGTTTCCACACCGGGTCGTCGTGGAGAGCAAACAGTTTCAGCGGATGATTTTCCTCCAGACCGAATTTCCTGCCGCGATTGGTGAACTTGGGGAACTGTTTGATGAGAACCTCTCGGGCGATGTCCAAGTTTTGCGTCACGAGAAAAGGCTTATCTCCCAAGAACACACCGAATGGATCACCGAATTCGTTGCTCCATTCGTTGATCCAGTATAAGTGATCTGAACTTATCTCGAAGAAGTGTCCCCATAAAAAATGGGGTTCAGGACCGGGTATTCCACGGTCTTTGAAAAATCGTAACTTCTTCCTTCGTCGACGTATTAGTTCCACAGCCAGAAGCGACACGAAGATGATCAGAACTCCGGATATCATCGTGCACGCCACGTCCGGAAAGTCTGTACTCGATGCACCGGCTAAACTCTCTTTAGCGAGAAACGTCTCGGACCAAAGTCATTATGAGCGACGACAGACTCTCACAGTTTCCCGCTCTCCCAAGAGCCGCGCTGATGATCCAAGTCCGAGCGATACTCCCCGCACCAGGTATATCTCGTCTGGTGAGTGCTTGTTTCGTTCCGCGCAATACCCATTTGGAGAAGTTGGCGGCTTGGTCGTCGAACTCAATGAAAGCTCGCCGAAACCCAGAGCGGAGCCGTGGGGACAAACGGTGCGCATACACAATCGAAATTCTGTCTCATGCTCTGATTGATTATGCCAAAATGTTCTCTCAATGTCAAAGAGCCAGAGCGATCGACGATTGAATCAGCCTTATACTGATTCGGACAATTCGGGCTCGAATCTTCTGGCTACTCCACCACTATCATCCCAAGGTACTCTCCTCTGCATATCTATTTCCCAAGTGATATGAAGAAAATATCTGGTCGAATCTGCACCAGGATCTGCATCTCCTAGAATTCGGATACTTCTGGAATGTTCCCTTAGCATGGGGTCAATGCGTGGAGATTCGGGAGACGAAAGGAATCACCTCTCGAACGTTTTCGATTCCCACCGGCGAACTTGGTACAGTCCACAATGCTATCATTCGGCCTAATCTTAGCGAGCTTACTTCCCTTCAGTTGAGCGGATTCAATTAATAGATCAAAGGATGATTTGTCGATTAAGCGCTCCTATTGTCAAAAAACGGCTCAAGAAACATAGCCTCTAATGGCCAATTATTCTCGACCCGGGGATTCCGTTTCCCTTAGAGACGGCCTGGAAAGGAAGTCATTGCCGCCAACGGAATCCGCCCCAGAACATCGGAAGGCTGTCGTCTATAACAGATATGATATCGACTGAGCTTGATCATACGCAACCAGCCCAAGTGATTGATCCCTGGCGAAAAGGGTCGCAAGAGAGATCATGGAGGCGATCTGGATTACTCGCGTAGTCAGATAACTCGGGTTCATCCCTATCGTTAAGGTCAATCCGATTTATCAGATCAGAAATTCCTGAGTTTCTCGATGCCGCGCCCTGCTCAGGTGGGAATCTCGCGAAAGAGAACGCTTCATCGGGAGCGAATGAGTGATTCTGAATTTCCCATTGACGAGCCCGGGAATTCCCGAAAAGAAACCATATCCTCCAGAGCACACTGAATAAGTCTCTGGAAGCTTCTCTCCTTTTCCCCCTTTCCGCTGAACCATGTGAGATGGAAAATCCCGCCGTTCCCTGCTAACCGGTCCCCGGAGCGAACGGCGGAATCTTCAGGCCCCCACGGCGGGCGTGGCCTTACAATCGCCGAGCCCCAAGATGAGGTCGTCCCGGAAGCCGCGGCGGAGGATACCCGAAACGAACGTCCTCACGAGAGATCTGCTTGTATGATTTATTATACGGAAGACTCACCTCGTGGAATCGGACGTTGTGTTGAAATCCCTTAGAATGAGAGAGCTCGGACGCGCTCTGAACGAATGATATTTGAGTCGATATATTCGTAATAATGTCGGGTTTGTCAGTGCGGCTATGGATTAAAGAAGAATGACTCTTACGGGAGCTCTGGCAGGACTCCCAATCTAGTTTTCCATAGAATACCTCATGACAGCGCCACGCTGACGATCTGAACAATTCAGCCGACGGACGATCTTGCACAAAATATCTCGGCGAGAGATTTCCTCGTATCGGCCGCGGAGCCATTCGCTGTCATTTCGCCGGATTCCCCGGACACCCTCTTGGCCGGCAACGAGGGCTTCGAAGGCAGATTCCCGAGTCACATAGTCGAAGACGCAGAAAATCCGATCAAAATCTGATCTGATCATCGTCCACAAATTATTGCATGGGATGATTCTGTGGCACCGATCTCCGGTGAGCTTCAATGATGTTGGCGGCACATCATCCACTATATCGATGAGGCTGTGTGCGTGAGAGAGCCTCAACACGAGGAGACTCGAGGTGCTAATCGTTCCGAGAGGTTGGAAGAGCAGCACTCTGCTGCGGGACTCTTTCTCGCACATCTAGGGACCGCCGTTCTCGTGGAGCTAGCAGGGATGACCCTTGGCAGGAGGAGCTAGATACTATAGTTGTAGTGTAGTAGACAACTGCGAATAAGAGCCAAGGCACCACAGGTAGTTCCGTGGCTGCAAGCATCACGATAACGCTCCGCACAACTTCTTCGTAAGTCAGCTTTTCAAGAGCACTCTTGGCCAGGAGCCGGTCCCAGGTCTCCCAAGGCCTCGCTCGCTCTCAACAAGGCTCCGACAAATCTCATCTGAATGAGAAAATGATCCAGGTTGAGGAATTTCGCGATGTCGAGCCTCCTGCATAGCGGAATCGTGGAAGTTCACGCTTAGGGTGACGAATGTTTCGCTTACGGCAGGTAGTTCCGTGAAGGCAAACTTCGACGAGCTATCGAGTGGACTACCGAGCTTCTTCGATCGATAGGATCATCGGAGCAACACAGTATGATTCTTGAACCCACCAGCAGCAGGAGCGAATTCCGCCGATCGACGTGAGCAAGTCCGATTCGCTCGAATGGAATTCGAGGCCGATCGGCGGGATTCCGAATCGGAGATCCCGTGCTCTTTCGTCTCGAGTTCCTCCCGAATCCGGGGATGCTTTTCCAGAGTGATTCGATCAAGCTCGTCGTCTTTGCGATAGGAAAGACTGAGGATCATCCAAGTCATTTTCCACCGTTTATCATCGGAAGGGTTGTCATGAGCGTGGCATCAGGGTGGTCGGTCTGAGAACCGATCTGGTCCGCGCGCTGAAGTCGGCCAAGCCCGTCGCCGGTAACGGGATTCCGAACGCGCCATGCACTGCCAGGAAGGATTTCCATTCTTGTTACCGCGCGAATCCAATTCAAGCCACTCGCTCCTCGTCACGCAGGGTAGGAGTCTTCTCTCACAGGGGGTCCCAGATGGAATGAAGTATCTCATATGATCCATATTCTTCTTTGATGTGAGAACGGTCAGGAATACGAGAGTTCAAGTGTACGGCGTTTCTCCCCCATGCGAGATTTGGGGAAGCGCGAAACCTTCGCTCATTCAGAGATCAGCAGTCCTGTCTGTCCGTCTTCACGTCCTTCTGCGTCCGCGATAAAAAAGTCTTGATCATCCAGGGGGAAAGTCGGCGTCGGTCAATAAGGGAACGAGGCGAGGTTGTGATGTTCCTACCCGATCACTCAGAAACATAATAAACAGCAAGACATAAGCGGGTCTCGAGAATGGTGGGAATATCCTCCCGTTGTTCTGCCACCATTCCGGGTATCGAGAGCGTATTATTTGAAGTCATGCTCATCTTCATCTCCACTAGATTAGATATTGGATGATTAAGGACTCGATCGGCTGTAGCGCTAAGGGAAATATCCCATGGGAATTCGGACGAAGACCCGCCAGAAGACACCGAGAGCTTTCGAAGGAGAACCTACTCGAAGAACCGAATTCGAGAGCCACTCCGCTGACATGTATAGGACCTAACCTGAGAGGGAGGACTTATCGGTGTTCTTTAATCAGCGGAGAGAGACCCTCTCAAAGTATAACAAACTTCCAGTGAGAAGCCGACGACGGTGCGAGGTTAACTGCCGAGATTTAATCGAGCCCCGCACCGCTGCCTGGCTCGGGCGACTCGCTCAAAACATTATACTTTCCTCGGCTCAAATGAGCTACCACGGTCAGTCGATCAATTTCAGATTGATAGCTTCCCCCAAGCGAATATCGGCGTGGGGGCTGATGGAGCGGTCTCTCGTCACCCTGACAGGACGCTCCACGGAATGTGGCGTTCCGGGTGCTGGGAGACCAAGCAGTCCCTTTGGGTTGCTATCTGGGGACGCGGCTGGAAAACCGCGCCCTTGTGGAAATCATCGATTTCAGCTTGCTCCTTTATGATTCTACTCCATACCTATGTACCTAAGGGGTCGAGTGCTTCCATAGGCATCGAATGCAAAGCGAAAATACATGAATGCTCCGTATCGAGGGCAAGGGGGGAAGGGTCTTGAGATCAAGTCGAATGTACCCGAGCTCAGATGACGCACAGCCGTCGACGTTTTGTCAGACCGCGTTTCGTCTCTCGCAGCGACCACGAGTTCTCGTGGAACGCCACTCTCAATCCCAGGACCAAGCATCGTATCGAACTCGAAGATTGAGGTTGCCGAAACTCATCCGGTGATCTGTCGGTAAGAAGTTCTTTCGGTGGAGGACTCTGATCCCACGATGATTGATCGCCCTAGGAGCAGGGAACTGGATGTCCGTCGACTTCTTCGGGTCTCCATGAAAATCATTGGATTGAGCAGGCGGCGATCTGATTGCTAGTGTCGGTGCAGCCTTCCATACAGTGTTTGCCGACAGGATGCGCTTCCGTGAGACCGAATGTGTTCCAATTGTCAGGAAACTCGAAAACCAGTCGACAAACAGATGTCGCCCCCAGCGGCGTCGGGGCCGCTAGAATAGAGACAACTCCGCCGCTTCCATTTACGCGGAGCGCTGTCCGGGTCGGCGTTGCCCGCCCTTTCTTTCACTACACTGGTCGCGGACTCCGAAGCGCTTTTCGATGGGTGGATTCTCCGTTGCTTACGCGTGTTAATCCTGCGCTGTGAATTCAAAAGATGTACCTGACTTGAAAGCTTCGGCTGTGGACCCAAGTTCTATCGGAAGTGCTGTTCCTTCCTCGACGGGGGACGAAAGAATGTATCACTGGATGCAGGAAAATGCTCGCCACGGGGCAGCACTGTAGCATTGCAGCACTTCGTGAAGCTTATCCCAGAGCAGGGGTGGTGTCTCTGAAGGAAGGGCTCTTTGCTCACGCGATCCTCGCTGCAATATTTGTAGTTCAGGGAAGATCCTCCCACGCGGAAACCGAACGGTGCGATAGTATTGTTTTCCGTGTTCTTAAAATGTCGCATCGAAAACACCTCCATCACAGGCTGAAAGATCGTGAACAGAACTCTGCTG